CTGAAACAGAAGAAAGAAGTCCGGTTACCAAACTCAGTCTGAGTGCTCTATGAACAGCTTTGGTGAGCTCTCAGGAGGACACATCAGAGTCCAGTATCTACTGCAAGCCGTCTACTTAATTGACAGGCGACTTGGCCCTTCAGTGTGCAAAACCAGCTGACTGGATCATCACTCCCTTGTCATCTGGGAGCCAACGCCCAGACAACTTGCTACTAATTTTCCGAGAAGGGACAAGAGTTCTCCAGGAGAGAAGTGTCTGCTTTCTGTTTTTGTGCTTGTTTTTGGAGCAAATAGGAACCAGGGTGCAGCTCCCAGGCTGGAAGATTTTCCCCTCTCCCTGGACTCCCCGTCCATCCTGGGGAGATTCAGCTTCCCTTTGCAGCTGGCCATAAATGAAGCCCAGGCTCTGGCACTCGGCTTTCACAAGGTATTGTTAGGTCAGCAAAGCCATCAATTAGGCTGTCTGAAGTTTTATCACCAACACAGCAGTAGTAAGTGCTGGGCCCGAAGACTTCTGGTCTTGGGGCAACTCCTGCAGCTTAAGCCTGTAAAGTTAGGGGTCACTCAGAGGTCAGTGCCAGCTGGGGGCGGCCTTTGCAGCCAAAGCAGGGACACCCAGGGCAGTGGATAAGCTAACTGCCAACCATAAACTCAGCCACCTTTCAACCCACTCGAAAGCCAGCCTCAGGTCCACATGGTTGATATTAGGACCCGGGAAACGTTTTCAAATCAGGCGGTTGCTGACTCCCAGGAATGTGAGGAGCGGCGGTTATTTTGTCTCAGAAGCCTGGATCTAATTTTGTTGAAAATCCAAAAATAAGTGCCTACTTCATGTTACTTTAATGTTTAATAATGCCCATCAAATATTCATGTACAAACAGAGTAAGACAATAAGAAATCTCCTTTATTTCTGCAAATTTAATAAAAACAAAACAATTTTCTACCATTTGCGAGTTACCCTTGTCCCCACGCTTTTAATGATGGTATTCCCCCACGCGTATGAACTTCTGGGAAAGATTCAGTGGCCCTGCATTAGGTTAGGGAGGGGCCGGTGGTCGGGAGCATACAGCTAGCTGGTCCTGCAAAAAAGCTTTCTATCGATAACATTTGTTGGTCAGCTTCTCTCCTTTCAAATCTTAAGCATCTGGGGGACTTAATGATCAATTCGTCCACATGGGGCTCCAGGCAGGACCTGAAAGTACATTCTCTGAGGAATTCCAAGGATTGGCAGTAAGTCGCTTGGAGGAGGACAGTGAGCACACGTAGCCTACTTTGAGCTCTCTGGTGAGAATCCAGTCGGGCTGATGAAAAACAGCCAGGAGAAAACCAAAGGAGCCCTCTGCATGTGCTGTTTGCAACACAATGAAGGAACTTCTTTAGTACTTAAGAAAGGACGTCCCAGTCGTCAAGAATGTCCAATCCCTTGGCTTTTGGGGAGGAAAGTGCTGGCTACTGTAAGTACAGTTAGCTGAAAAATGAGAGTTGAAGCTTCCTTTCTATCCCCTCTGTCCCCTGAAATGTTGCTGACCAGACCAGGTCACAAAGACTTTCCGAAGCAACCCTCCTATCGGTTAAAAGAATTTATCTGAGGCCTAGGAGGGCTGGCTTCTACTTTCTCCCTCTTGGGGCGGGGGGGGGGGGGGCTCTTCTCACAGGTTCAGTGAAGACCAAGAGAAGCCAAGAGCAGGTTCCTTTTGGTCTGTCTCCATGTTTCTGGTAGAGAGGGGCAGCTCCTCCTTTTCAATTGCTGCCAGTCCTGTTGTGTGGTGGGTTGTTGCTTTGTTTTTGTTTTCTCCTGTAGGTCAGTCTTTTAGGAGAAACAAATTGCTGCCTACCCTTCGAGGTTTCCTCCTTTTTATTCCTTTATTATTTACATCTGGAGATTGCTCCTTTATTTATGCTTCCCTCTGCTCTTCCCGCAAACACTCCCACCCTCACCGAGCTGCAAGGCATCCTGGTTCTTAGTTCTCAGCAGGAGAACTTCACACTGTCTCAAACAAATAATTACTGGGAAGGTTAGAGGTTCACTCAAAGGTCATTTCTTTGGATACTCATCAGAATGTTTACACTAGTAAAAATGGGGATCCTCTCAAAAGGTTGTTCAATGGGGGTGATCCAACAATGCAGAACATTTAGAAAAAGCATTCTGTGTGCTAGCAGGTCTTTATAGAAGGGCTGAACTTGGCAATGCCACTCGGGCCTCACATTTTCAGCTAGTTTCCATGGCGTGGACAGCATGTTCACTAGCTCTTATGGCAATGGCCTTTCTTTGCTCACTGCTCCTTGGAAGGCTTGAAAGAAAGAAGACCCTACACATTTTTACGGGGCAGGGAGGGTTTTCACAGAGGGTCACAGAGATTTTACACTCTCATGTGGGCTCCACGCAGCCTCTGTGAAGCTTTATTCTCAGTGCTTTTGGTCCCCAGTACTGTTTCATAATTCCAATGCATTCTTTCAAATCATACAGGATTTGGAAAACATATGGGCCCCTGTTTTTGCTGTTGTTTTCTTTTTTTTCCTCCAGAAATCTCTGAACATAAAACTCCTGCCAATTGTCAACTGCCCTAATCTCGGAACAGTTTATTAACGCCATAGATGTTATTAAAATTAATAATGTGCTCACTTTAATAAAAAATTGTGATCTTAAAAATTAAAATGACAACTCTCTCCTTCCCCCATGCTGATGACCCATGGGGCACCACCTTTTAGAAAATACTCTCACGAACTCAAAATGGAGCCATTTAATTCAGAGATGAAAAAAATCAAATAAGAAATGATTTTTTTATTTCGTTAATTCCCAACATGAACTGCCATATATAGTCTTTCCCTAAATGATTTGACATAAATCTTTTCTACTTCCTCTGATTATATTTTAAGAATGACCTTTCCTTTCTGCAGATAGTCAACATAATATCAAGTTTTGATTCTACTTAAACTCTCAAGCAGCTAAGTTGAAAAATCAACTCATCTCCAGTCATTCAAGGCCAGAGCTTCATTCATATGGAAAAATGCAACTTCCTGCTTCAAAGACAAAAGATTCATCTTTAAAAGGCTCAAAAGGTTTCTTGGATATTAAATGGGTCTCACGAAATAACATTTTGATGAGTTAAGTGTAAATGAATCAGACACATATGGATTAAGTTATCCCTGCATTTCACACGGGTTTAAAAAATAAGGGGAAAAGAGGGTCTTGGCAAAAAGCATTTTGGACTTTGCCAAACCCAAAACATTTGAAAAATTGCTGAAGACATCCAAGTAACCAAAATGCAGCAAGCTGCACCCAACTTTAATGAAAACCCCCACGAGTTATTTCCAATCCAAAGACTGTTAGGTTTTCATCTGTATCTGATATTTAAGAAGAAAGAAGGAAAGGAAAGAAGGAGAGAAAGGAAGGGAGAAAGAAAGAAAGAAAGAAAGAAAGAAAGAAAGGAGAAAGAAAGAGACAACAAGAAACACAACTCACTAAGTTTTAGTCACCTTAGCATGGTTTTGAAGTTGCAGACATACAATATACTTTTTTATTAGTGCAATTTAACCCTGGTATAAAGTCTCCTTCGATATTCAACAGCTTTTTAAAACTGAATTTTGTACAACTTGTATGGAAAATGTGTTAATAAATCTAGTGCCTTCTCCAGATTTCCCTTAGAAAAAAATTTCATTAGCCTCATTGTGACTTTTTTTAAGGACTTCAGATAATTGAATTAGTGACTCCCTAGGGGGTGAGTACCCCAAACTACACTAGTTCTATTGATTTGTATTGAGCATGAAGTTAGTGCCCAGGCTCACACAAAAGCTTCGAAGAGAGTCTCCTGAGACTATTTGCATCTTTAAATTTTACTTAACTAGAAAATGCATTAGTATGTGTAATCCTTCAAACTTATATACCGAGACTCTTAGCTTAAAATAACTTAATTATAGAAATAAATTCAGTGACTTTCCAAGAATCAGGAGGCTTTTCTAAGTCAATTTAGAAATAACAACAACAACAACAGCAAACTAACCCTCAGTAGAGTCAAAGGGATGGACTCCAGACAGCAAAAGTCACTGAAGCCCACCCGACTCTTGCTGGAGAGACCTTCTGGAGACCACCAGCCATCTCAGGAAAACCTAACAATTTGAGCTTTGCATGCTCCCCCCACAACCCCCGCCCCCTGAAATCTGACCACTGCATTTTCTTTTAAAGGCTTTCACTCCAAAGCATAGCTAAGGCTGATGGGAGTAGACTCAGGTGTCATTCTGGATTGGAAGGTGATTCCCCCACCCCTTTTAAATGGCTGCTAAATCCCTTCTTTCTGGTTCACTAACTTCTTGCCACACCTGGTAACCCACTCCTCCAGGCAGCAACATTCCTTTGTTGGAGAGCATAGGCCTCTCTCCCTGTGCTGCCCCTCTTGGAAAGCAGCCAGCCCTGAACACTCTCAGGGTAGCAGGATTTGAAGCTGTCCCTTGGATTGGTGTTGTCAAGGAAGAGGCTTGAACTGTTGACAAGGGATCAGATCAATTTGGAAAAGGTGTGGTGGGGAGCTTGGTGACAGGGGCTCGGTGAAAACACACAAAAAGGTTCAACTTGGCCTAGCTGCAGGACTTGCCTGTCAGCGTGCTCCTGCTTGGGATTTCAGTGGCGTTTCAACCTTGGAAAATCAGTCGGTTAGGTTTTTTTTTCTCAATATGAAAAAACAAACAACAAACAAACAAAGAAAACAAGTTTTATTCTGTGTCTGGTCTCCAGTTGAATAAGTGAGTTAGAAGGGTTTCACACTGTTGAACAAGAACTTGGACTTGAAAATGACTGAATCGCACTATACATCCAAGGTGTTCAGACATGGAATCTTTGCCCAAAGACAACTTTGAGCAAAGTGAGGTAAATGAATGAGATTCATGCACGACTTGAGGACACATTCACAGATCATAACTAACGTCCTTGCGCTCCAGTGTAATTATAATTGGATAGAATATTAGATTTGCCCACACCTGTAAAAACACGGGAAATAAATACTCAT